GGTTTATGCATGTCTGCTTGATTCCTTAAAGTAATGGGGGGGGATTAAATATAAGGCAGGTGTGGGCGTTGTACTTCAAAGGCACACACACACACACACAAAGAGCAACAGGAGCAAATCTGCCCACTTTGAAACGACTAATGCTCATCCAATCCAATATGGAGCCGGGCTGACAGATGGGCCCAGTGTGTTCAAAGCCGGACGGCGATTTAATATCCAAAGAGGTCAAGCCAAAGAGAGAGAGAGAGACACACACCTGAGTAGGCACGGCACAAAGGTCTGGCCAGCACAACCGCCACCACCGCAGCTGGGACTCACCTCGCCTCCCCCCTCTGCCTCCCCCAGCATGTCCATTCCTTCTTGTTGCCAGGCGGGGGTGCAGCCGGCTGTGTGCAGCTCCTCGGCACAAACATTTTTATAATCTGCATTTGTTTACTGTTATTATATGTGCCTTTAGAGAATGAGGCTCGATGGGCCGGTTCTCCTCCCCCTCCTCCTAGCAGCCAAGCGCTGGCTGTGGCGCCCACGAGGAGAGGGGGGGTTGCAGAGTGGAGTCCTGCTGCCGCCGCTGACAGGCTGATTTAGAGGTGCTTTTTCATACCTCAGACACAAGAGTCCCAGCCTGCCCGGGTTACTGCAAGGTTGGGAGAAGAATAGTGGTGCTTATCCTGAAAGCCTGTTTGTGCGCGTGTGTGTGTGTGTGTGTGTTCTGGCCTTTTCTTGTTTAACATCCTCCTTTGTCACTGTGTAGTAGATTGCTTTAGCACAGCAGATCTCTTGCGCCTCGTGTTCTGTCGGGCAGATGGAAGTGCTTACTGAGTGCTGGTGCGCTGGCAGAAATCTCCGTCTCGAAGAGAGCGGCAGAAAATATGGAGGAGAAAGGAGGGAAATGAGGAAGAGGGAAAACCGAGTGGAAAACCCTTCCGATCAGATCTGTCATCTTTGTGTGTGTGTGTGTGTGTGTGTGTGTTTATGCCAGTGCGTGAGTGATCTTCCCAGCCAGCTCTTCCTGCCTACCCTCTCTAATCTTATCATGTCGGAGCGAGCAGATTAGTCGTCCCAGATCCTTTCTCCGCCTCCAAATGCCACAATCAGCCTTTTGTTCTCGGGCTGAGCTTACTCTCCCCTGGCGGCGGGCGAGGTGAACGCTCCCACAGTCCCACAGTCCGCCCTGCGTCCCGCTTCCAGCCTCCGCCTGTCAATGTCACGCCGCTGCCAGCCCCCGATCCGCCATGCTTGAGCCTCCCTTGCCCCCGGGGAGGTTGGCTAACTGAGCTGTTAGCTCAGCGGCCTGCTAGCCGAGCTGAAGTGCTTGACATTCCTTGCTAACACCCCCCCGCCCCCCCCCTGCTTGCTTGCTCTTTGCCGTCTCCTTTGTCTGTGTCTTTCCCGTCCTTCCTTCAGGCTGCCACCTCCTGAAGGAAGTCATAGATCCTGTCTGCTGATGTCACCAGTGAGGAGAGGAGGGAGGCGGGGGGCCGGGGGGGGTATAACTGGGTTAGCAGAGGAAGAAGCGAGTGTTTGAAAAGCAGAGAAAATAAACAGAGGTTTCCTGTTAACGAGGTGCACTGGGGGCGTGTGGTGTGGGAGCGGGAGGGTCTGGTGTTTGCAGGCTGCCCGAATAGGGCATCGAGTTTGAGGGTTACAGGTTGTAACATCAGGCTTTTCTGTCACAACTCGGCCATATTTGACGAGGCCACAGTGAACAGATGTGGGGGGGAACGGCGTTCGTGTTGTCTTTGGTTTTTCCGAATGAAAAGCCGTATTGATTTCACACTCTCTTAGCAGACAACATGGAATTAATCCCACACTCAGTCCATTATGCGTACGGCGAATGGAGCTGGTTTATTTTCTCCTTTTTTAAAGCCTGTTCTCGTAAAAGAAAAGTCCTGCCCTCAGTACTTTCTCCTTTACCCGGGTCTTTGTAGTAGTGTGGTCGTACACAGGGGCCCCAGCGCCAGAGTTGACTGCACACACATGCAGCCACACAAAGAGAACTGCACAGCCATTATGGATCCAAGGGGCCAGCCACCTTCAGCCAGTCGGAGGGAGAATTAACCAACTCGCACAAAGCCCGGCTTGTCCTGGCTGCTTTTGGAACCGTGATCAATGCGCTGCATCGCCATTTGTTTCTGCATTCATAGCGAGATATTTTAAATTTGTTCTACAGTGACAATACTATTCAGTATTTACAAGGAGGCCGTGTCACAAAGCGCTTCACAAATACAGTCAAATAAATAGAGTCGCCAACATGAGGTCGAAACAAAAGTTCTACAAACAATATGGTGCAGACAAAAGATGAATTAGAAGAAACCAGTTAAAAATCCAGGAGTCAAAACATGCCTGAAAAAAACTATTGTGACCCGACCCAAAGAAAGAAATGACCGTACATTCTTATAATATTCCCAGTATATAATCATCTGACTGCCAGCCCCCGTGTGATGAGTGTAGCCATGAATGCCACAGGCTGAGCCACTGAAGGGAGGAGGGGTCCCATTGTGCTCGGCCCCAAAGCACGGCTCTCCGATTTATATCTCCTCCTCGCTGAATGAAGGGGCAGCCTTGTGTCCTGGGGGGGTTTCAGTCGAGCGGGAGGAGGAAAGCTGTAACTTTAAATCTGAGGAAATGAGAAGGTCTTGCTCCTCCCTACTTTAATCCGACCTTTTCTCTCTCCTCATCTCCTTTGCGCTGCTTCCTTGCACTATATCTTTTTTTTTTCTTCTTTATCCGGTTGTTTCGTTTCTTTCCCTCAGTAGTGGGTCAGTAAGTCTTTTGGCCTCTCCGCGGTACGCAACATTCCCAGGGTTTAGGGCCCAGGAGGAGGGAGGGCAGGGCCATGTTTAGCCTCTGGCGGGACAGACAAAGATGGCCGACGGCGTGCGGGGCTCGGCTCTCTGCGGGCCGCGTGGAATGTCTCTAATCAATTCAGCATTTTCGTTCCACGCACATGTTCTCCCTGTGATTTCCTTTGGCAGGAGAAAAAACAAATGGGAACACAATACAACTCTGGTTTTGTGTGGCGAGCCTGAGCAGTCGATCATTCCCCTTGATTTTCTCCTGGTGTTATCTGCTCATTTCTTCCTCCCTGTGTGTGTGTGTGTGTGTGTGTGTGTGTGTTTAGGATTGTGATAATTGAAAGCTGTGCTTCTCTCCCACTACGCGCTGCATATCTCTCTCTCTCTCCTCTGAGGGGGCTTAACGCCGCCACGAGCTTCTAAACAGCAATCTGCTTGCAGCAGCGGCTGCTGCTTTGTAGTGACGAGGATACCGATGATCGCCCTCCCCCCCCCCCCCGTGCTTCGTCTCGTTCCGTGGGGTTAAAATAACGCAGGCCTCGTGAATGAGCTGTGAAACCTTCTCCGTCTCGCATCAGACGCCGTGTCCCCGGCCCTCTAAAACCCCTTTGATTTCTCTGTACCACCGGCAGAAAATGACATGTTCAGGTAGCACACTGCCAGTGTTTAACAGTCGCCTTAAAGTATTAATTATGTATAAGCGGCGGATAACTACTCGTTGTGATGTGTCAGGCCTAGAAGGCAGCAGTGTCTGAACACCGGATAGAAGAGAGGTTGGGATGGGTGGTAATATGGCGGGGAGGGGGGGGGCATGACGTCATTGCACACAATCCTCCACTCACACGGCACATGTAGGTCTACGTGCTCGGAGGTCCGTCCACATGTATGGCTCTCTGTTGAATCACAAGCAAAGTGTGTGTGAATCCAGCTGCTGTTTAATACGTCCTGGCTCACTTACCCAGTCATTCCACCTCCCGGCTCAAGGTTGGAGGAGGGGAGGAACGGGCAGGAAGAAGAAAAAACCCATGGTATCGGTGGGGTTGGAATGAGAGAGATGGAGGGGGAGGAAGGGAGGATGGGAGGGAGGAATGGAGGGAATGGGAAAACCAGAGGTGGGCTTTGAGGGTTTAGGGAGGTGATGATTTGCTTGGCTGCGTGTGCTCAGCCTCCTCCCCAGTGACACAACCGAACAATGTACTCTAAAGGCTTTAAATATCTTGACTCTGACCTCATGTTCCTACAACACACACGCGTGCGCGCACACACACACACACACACACACACACACACAGATACAGTTAAGAGCCAGGAAACAGGGGAGGTTTGACTGTCTGTTTTAGATTTCCGTAGACCCCCGCCTTCCTCTGTTTTTCCAAATTGCTCAATTCTCCTTTTCTCCTGCGGGTGGTGCAGGTGTCTCAGTCGGTTCGTGCAGTCCAGCGTGGCAGAGCCCCCAATACAGACGGCTAGGAGTGTGTGTGTGTGTCTCTGGACTGAGACACACACACACACACACACACACACTCCTAGCCGTCTCTCCCTCTCATGTTCTTTCAAACCACTGTGACGATCAGTTGGGCTTTTGTGAAGGCACAATAAATATTTTATAACATGGAATGAAAACGCTAGTTTGCCCTTTTCATCTCTCACATTCGTGTTGGCTTCACTTCCCCCCCCCCCCCCCCCCTGTTCCCTCTGCTGTTTTGTCAATGAGTGGCCCTGATGAAGCTCTCTTCTCACCTCAGTGCTGCCACCTGCTGGTCATCTAAGGGAATACAAGCCTCTGCTGACTTGCACTTTATCAAAAGCCCAGTGGGTGGCAGCACTTGATGATTTCATTTATGGGTAAACTGTAAAAGCTGTAAAAGTCTGGATATAAAAAAATGTATGATTGGAATATGTCACTTATGTCATTAAGGGATAAGAAGCATTGAACTCTCCCTCCCGCCTCGTTCCTCTTTCTCTCTCCACTCTCCCTCCAGCGACTGCTATCCCACTGTTTACTTTATTAAAGCTCTAAATGCTTCTGCAATCCCTTTTTAATTGACTCGGTCTCTCTGTGTGCTTTCTGGCATCAGCCTGCGTGAGTCATACCCCCCCACCGCCCCCCCCGACACAAAATCAAACAAAATGATGTCTGTTTATCTTAGCGTGGGATCGCTCTTTGTCTGCTGCTCACTCGCCCTGTGTCTCCGTGTGTCGCAGAGTAAACGGGACCATCTGCTGATGAATGTGAAGTGGTACTACCGCCAGTCAGAGGTGCCCGACTCCGTCTACCAGCACCTGGTGCAGGATCGCAACAACGAGAACGGTGAGGCTGCCTTTTGTTTGTTGAAACACATCCGTGCATGTGCACCTCTACTGTACACACACACACACTGACACAGTCAATACACTTTCTTCCCCAGTAACACAACACTCCTTCACAAACACACCCACACACACACCTGCCGCATCGCTCCAGAAAGCCGGGCGAGTGTGGGGGGGGTATAAGCGTTAGCTGTGAATTGCATTTCAAACAGAAGCCGATGTCCCAGGCGACCGAGCCAATCCCGCGGCTCCAGCGCCGTTCCCACGGTAACACTCCTTCAAGCCAGACAGAAACGCTGTCGAGTGTTAATAACTCACGATGTCATGTGGCCTTTGAGCGCTCTCTCAACACCATCGGTGTCTGTTGGCTCATCACACTCCAACACAGACACGCCTCCCTTTTGTTTTAGCAGCTGGAGGTCAAATCCTGATGACAAGAAGGAAATCTGACTCTGCATCCACTCGTGATAGTACATAACCTGCTCAGTGTGGTTGCTCAATGTCCTGTGTCAAAGTGTCCCTGAGCAAGACGCCTTCATGGCTGCACGCAGCTCTCACTGTGTGGGGTTAAACGCAGAGAATAGTTTCCCAACGAGATTAATAAAGGATACTTGGGTCGTTGTTTGAAAACTTCTCACACGACATCAGTGAAAAATCATCAAAACAGGATATTCAATGTTTGCATCAGATGTCTCGGTCCATAATGTGCCGACTGTGTGTCGTCCAAGTAATACCGACTAAGGTGGAACATCGTTGCGGTTCTTCCCACGTTTGTCTTCAGCACTGAATGTCACATAGGCACATTGTCACCTCTGTGTTTCTGCTCTTCCTGCAGACTCTGGCCGGGAGTTGGTCATCACAGACCCGGTGGTCAGAAGTCGAGAGCTCTTCATCTCCGACTACGTGGACACTTATCATGCTGCTGCTCTCAGGTAAACAGACATTTGAATATACTTATGCCCATGTGCACGCACACACAGCTTTATAATCCCAATGGTAGAACATGTACACCTCTAAATATCCAGGAATAAAACTTCTCTGGCAGTTATTCTGCCAGAGAAGTTTTATTCCTGGGGCTTTGTTGAGTTAATGGTTAATCTCTCTTATGTACCTGTAGTTTGTTTTTTTACCACATGGAAAACTGATGTAAACTTGTTGTCAGGTATAGTAATTCATGTAAATAATATACTTAGTGACCAGTTTTCCGCCATCGTGCACTTAATCCTGTTATAAAGACTGTTGTCACAGACGAGATTAATGACCTACACCATCTGTGCTCCAGTTTTCACTGTTGTAAAATACTCACCTGCTCTGATCCAGATTCAGGAGACAGAGGAATGACTCTTTACTACAATCTGTATTATTTGACTAACTAAATAGGAATAATTCAAAAATGTTCATAAAACCACTTGTTTTTCTCTGACTTCATCAACTCCCACTTGTGCGTGTGCACACACACACACACACACACACACACACACACACACACACACACACACACACACACACCTGTCAGAGTCAAACGGATGGCAGTCACTCGGCAAACAGACGGCATCACTTTCTTGGTCTGAATTTGGTTATTCTGTTGCCGTTCTGCATTAGTGCCTCTTCATTCCTTCCCGTCCGACCACCTCTCACCTCCTCCCCCTTCTCACCATAACCTAAACCACCTGAGAGTGGCACAGTCTCCCAGACAACCACTGATTTCAGGGCAAATTAGCTGCAACTTCCCCTACACACAGCACCCTTTGATCCCACTGGTTTTGCAGGCCTCGGATGAACGGGAGGGAATTCCAGCGGGATGGTGTAATGCTCTCCAAAGGCCGCCCCGCTTAGCGCCCTTTAATCTCTCCAGAGGGAGGAAGATACAGACACAGCGCTGCTCCATATGCTACTCAGATAGAGTACACCAGGTTGCTGAAGACAGGAAATGGTATCAAGATGTGGTCAAAGTCTCGGCCCTCTCGGCTTGTAGGAGGGGGGGGTGGTTGTTAAAGGAAGGAAGGAAGGAAAGTGATAGGTTGCATTCCTGTCCAGATCTCTGCAGCGTCTGTCGGGACTGACATGTTCAGCTGGTGTTTACGGGTTCAGTAGTCAGCAGGCACCGACAGGCGCTACATACCTGCTGCTGGATTTGTCATCTCCGATGGATGAACCATAACCCCCCCCCACACACACACACACTCAGAGCTTCCAATTAGCCACTCCTTCTCAGCTATCATGTTGTCATGTAGTTGTTTTTTTCTAATAAAGGCTGTCTCCTCTCTCACAGGGGGAAATGCAACATTTCCCATTTCTCCGACATATTTGCTGCCAGGGAGTTCAAAGCCCGCATCGACTCCTTTTTCTACATCCTGGGATACAACCCCGAGACCAGGTGAGGGGCTTTCTGTCAAGTTGATTCCGCTGATCCGGCCTCGTTCCTAATTCTCCTACAGGTCACAAATGCTGGCTCATGTTTCTGTGACCCCTATACATTTTTTGTTTATATTTAAAACAATTATTTTTGTCTTCAAATTTGCTCGTTTTTTTTTCCGATCAATAACTAGCACATATTCAGTTCCTATCACAAAAGACAAAGGAGAGCAGCGCGATGTTGAAAAGTTGTAACGGGTCATATTTAGCAATAACAAATTATTTGAATAATGACTGATTATTAATTATCAAAATAGAATACTCAAAGGCAAGTTATAGGTTAAAGTTCAAGTTTTACTACCAAAAACTACCCAAGCAAACTGAAACGATGTTTGCCTGTATCGAGGGGAAAGCATTGGTTGTTATTTGTCAAATGACTGCTAAGCTTTTTGAGTTATTGAGAAGAACAATCTCTATTAGTAACTTAAGCGTTTTGTTTATGATGAAAGGCTTTTTTTTACTCAGAAGACATTGTGACCTGTTCCAGTACAAAATCACAGGTGTGAATTCAGTTTAAAGATGGCATCATTTTGTGTAGCTGCGTCAGTGTGAGGATCCTGGGTTTGTGCACGCTGGCTTAATGGGAACAAAGTGATTGTGATGTTCTGATGTGAGTGCGCCAGCAGATAATTCAAATGAATACAAAAGTACACAATACCATTTTATTTCATCCTAATTCTTCTTGTTAGGAGCATGGTCTATATCTATGCATATATTTTTTTGTTACTTAATATTATTATTTAAACATTTCGACACATCATGTCACAAATATTTCGCAAAAGTCATTAAGCGCCGCGAGCCATAACTTCAAAGTATTTGTGCTAATCATCGGACCGGTGGCGTCATGAGTCACGTGTTGCAGTGACGGCTGTCCTTGTTGTCGGGACCGAACGGGTTGCCAGTCGGGAACCCCCTCCTCCAGGGCCCCCGCGCGCTCTTCCCCTCCCTCCCCCGCGCGCGCGCGCCGCTCGGTATTCTAAGCGGGCTGTCCGCAGCCTCGCAATTTCACTCTTGTTTATTATGGCGCAGATATACGAGGGGAGATGAATTCCGTGTCCCGCACGCGTGCCTTTCCGCCTGCGTGTGTGAGGTCGCAGCACATGCTCAGTGAAAACCTCTCCATTTTGAGCACCTGGAAATAGGTGGCGGAGGGAGAGAGGAAGAGAGAGAGAGAGGAGAGGTGTGGGGGGGGAGGGAGTGTGTGGGAGTCAATTCCTACGAGCATTACACACGGTGTCACCACCCGACCTTAGGGCTCGATGTCAGACATGGACGATTTGTTCAGTCCCCGGAGGTAGGTGTGCGCTCATCTTCTCGCGCTTTCTCAGTCGCCTCATTTTTCACGTGTCGCGTCGGTTGCCGTCCGGTGTGTCCGCGGTCGTGGTGGCAGCGAGTGTGCACATTGTGTCGGCTGCCTCCGCGGCGCGCATGCTGTCATCGCAGAGCACGTTTACGAGCAACAATGGACGCGCCGTCGTAGTCGCGCCGCCCCTCCGAAGTCCCGATGAATGCTTTGTTGTTTTTCTTCCCCTCCGCGATGCGAGCCGCCGGCACCGAGAGCGCACACGTGCACACGCGGCGTGTGCTCTGACAGACGGGTTAGGCGACGCCGGGGGAAGGGGGCGGGGGGCACGCGCGCAGCTAGCTCATGCTGGTTAAATACCATTTCTGCTGTGTGGCAATTATGTCAGTGTGCCATAGACTCGCGCCGTGATTGGCTGGAATTGATGAAGGGGGCGCGGCTACGGTTGATTGCCCACACACAGCAGAGCTGACCAGACTGTCACGTTGTTGTTGTTGTTGTTGTTTAGGTTTAATAAGTAAGCCTGTAATTATTTGGTTGGACGATGTGCTCAAAGAGTAGTTTCTTACCGTACCTTGTTTATTGTGCTAAGCAACAGGCTTTGTGCAGCGCATCACTTCCTTTGGTATTAAGAGTCAGAACATTAAAACAATCGCTTCTTTGTCATTTCTTTTTACAGATCTGAACATGGGTATATTTCCTAAAAATAGAAGAAAGATAGAATTACCTAGCTTCGAAAACATTTTTTTCTATCACATGTTGGCACTTTCTGTTGGCTGTTTCTGTTCAGGCGTACCTGCAGACATAATGGAGATGCATCTGTACTGTGCCTTCTCTCTGAGGACCCAGACTGCATTCCATCTGAATGCCGACCGCCTGCTCTCAGGATTTGCCTGAGTAAGACATGGCGGTCCACGGACGCCCTTCTTGTTCTGGTCCACGGGTCCTCATCCGTCATCCTTACAGCCTCCTGCCAAACAAACCTGGCCGACCGCACGTTGTCTGGAACACATATTGTACAACTTTATATATGTTATAACCGTTCGGCGTGTGTCTGTATGCAGGAATTTGCAATTATACTTTTTTTGTTTGTAAAAAGCAGGATTTGTATCCCTGTGTGTTTATAATTTGTTCATCTCTAACACCAATGAAATAGTTGGTTAATACTGCTTAAAATAAGTAATATATCATTTTTTTCCCCGCTTTGTTCTCTAATCTGAAGTGCTGCTGACGCAGGAAACACAGGAATCATATTTGATCTGTTCATCACTGGGAGCTTCAGTTCGTATTATCTTCCGAGGAACGTTTGTAATAAAATTGAAAGTATTTCAACATGTTCTGGAGCAGCAGGCGATCCTCGCCGGCCGGAGGTCATTTACTGCAGTTGAAATTCAGTTGTTGTTTTTATTGGGAAGGGGATGTCTGTGCCCATGTTGTCCGTGCCAGTGCTTCTGTCAGCACATAGTTCACAACAGTGCGGTCTGCTCCTCTATTGTCGGAGAGGAGATGGAGGCCTGTTGAAGGAGCGGAGTTGGGTCAAATATGTACCCGTCAGTGTTTTGTGTTTGGCTGGCTGTAAAGGGACCAGAGGGCTGTGGCCTCTCGGGTTTCCGCCTTGTCTCCGTGATGGACTGCCGGCTTCTCCGGGTGCAAATCACGCTGACAGATTCTGGGCCGCCCTGCGCTCGCCTGTATGAAAATTGGCGCCGTTACCTAGGCAACAGAGGGGAAGGCTTTTCAGAAGGAACATCTTGTCATTTTCTTTAATCCACTGCAGCTGGAGATTCGGATCACTATTATTAAATTGCAGTTGCCATAGCTACCCACATTTGTACCAGCAGCAGTTTCAGAGGCACTCGCCCTGCATATCAAGAGCCCCCCCACCTCCCCCCTCTTGCCTCCTTTTAGGGGGTTGTGTTTTATTGCTCTATCCACAATATCAGACCTGTAAATGTGCCCAGCTCTGCTTGCTGTGCAGGAGCAGTCAACCCAGTAATATTCTCCTGAAATCTTTATTTGCTTCTCAGAATACAAAATGATTTCTCCCACCTGTGAAGGCCACAATAGAGCATAAAGCCCTTGTCCCCTCGCTCTGTATTGGCTCTGGCCTAGGTCATGTCCTTTTGGTCACTAGTCGGTTGTGATACCCAGTTGTGACTTTGTAGTTTGCGTGCAATTGTTTAGCTGATTCAACAGGCACAATGCCTTCGACTAACTTTGATATGTTGCCACGTCAATATTTTTGTTTTAATCTGCCTTTTGTCTCTTTTCTCAGGCGACTAAACAGCACACAAGGGGAAATCCGAGTGGGACCCAGTCACCAAGTAAGTCATTGTACAGCACGCATCACCCAGCTGCTGACTTGAGAGATTTGTTTGGTGCGATCGTTTGCAGCCTCTTTGTTCCAAAATGTTGTTGATGCGTTGTTTTTATTAAAAGATAGCCCAAACCAAACCACTCCCCCCCCCCCCCTCCCCCTTACCTCAGAGATGACATTTAGTCTGATTCACGCAAGCACTCGGCATCTAAAATGTGGGAGCATAATTTTATTGTCTTGCCATTCGGTTTTAAACCAATTTCTCCCGCAGAATATTTGACGCAGTTGATAACAACATGGCAGTTTGGTTTTCGCTGCATTGCTGTTCCCTCTAGGTGGATAATGGCGTTAAATGCGGCACATCTAGAATCTAAATGTTAAATCCAAAATAAAACTGCAATTGTATGAGCTAGTCATGTGAGTGTAGAACAAAATACACTTTATTTCTGTCCTACGGGAATTATGATCCTTTAAACTCACAGGTCAACATCTGCTATAAAACATATATTTGCATGCTAATTTTATTGTAAAGTTTGCATCCGTCCGAGCTGTCGTGACAGGTGCACAAAACTACAGCATTGTACAACTGTGAAGGCTTCTAAACACTTCAGTCATGTATGTTACGGGCGGCTGCTCCATCTTTATAGAAAAAAGGAAGTTATTTGTGTATTGCATTTCTGCCTTGTCTTGAGATATTCAATCATTGTGCTGTAAGCTGTCCCCACCCCGCGATGACAGGAGGAGGTTGAAAGCTGATATTTTGTTAAAGCTTGCTTGCTATTTGTAGTGTGACACGTTCCGTCCCTCTCCTTCTCCCCGGACCTAATTAGGCCAAGCTCCCCGAGCTGCAGCCTTTCCCTTCTCCTGCTGGCCAGGCCGTGACGGAGAACGAGGAGCTGGTCTGGATGCCGGGGGTCAATGACTGTGATCTTCTCATGTACCTCAGAGCCGCAAGGTGAGACCGGAGATCAGATCTGTCAGAGCGCCAAATACACAATTCCAAACGGTTCCTTTTCCCTCGCTGCATTGATCAAAGCGTAATTCAAGTTTAGTTCGTTAAATTATCGAGATTTTGCTAAATCAGTGAATCAGTGAAAAAGCACATCTACAGGACCGCAGTGGTAGAGTTACACAGTTAAACTTTAACCACCACGTTGAGAAATATGACGATTGTTATCCGCCAATATTCAGTAAGATATGCAATCTGCACTTATGTTTTCCTACTGGCCCATCTCTGATAATGTGACATAGTAAACAACCAATCTGTGTTTGAAGGAGATGTCAACAATATAAAGATGAACTATGAACGCAACTATAAGATGTAAACAAGCTGTGACCTGTTTACGCGAGCTCCAAGCAGACTACAATGGATCAATAAAAACTAATGACATCTGCTTTAACTAATGGAAAGAAAAAAACACATCCAAAATTACTAGAACAAAGTAAAAGTTTTATATTTTTAATGGTATAAATGAGCGATTGAATGTATGTTTGAGATGGTGGAAAATCAAATAAATATAAAAATAAATAGTCTGTATAATCAAACGACAAAGGGATCTGAATCTTCTCATATGGATCAGAAATGATCGGCAACTAGCATCGCCGGCAGAAAAACACTATCCGGGATCTCGAAAAGTTATATTTGCTTCCCTTTTTTTTCTTTTTGGCTGATCTGATCTGTGATCCGATCCCTGACTCTGATCCGTGTTACGATCCGAACCGTGAGTTTTATGATCCGTTGCACCCCTAATGTATACATATATAAAAATAAACAGATACATACATAAAATCAGGGAATATCAAATGTGCTTTTTAAAAACGTCGATGCCGCTTTTTTCATCTGTCGACTTGAAACATGCCATTTGTAACTTCAGTTTGAAGGGGATATTATTGCAAGTGACTTTAAGACGTCCTTTTCATCTCTGAAATGCTTGTGAGATTTTTTAAATTTTTTTTTAAAGAAAACTACAGGAATATTACAGTCACTTAATGGAAGTGTGCGACTCTTTTAACGCTGCTTTGTGTCCACAGGAGCATGGCTGCCTTCGCAGGAATGTGCGACGGAGGCTCAACAGAAGACGAATGTTTAGCAGCCTCTCGAGACGACACTACATTAAACGCACTTAACACTGTGAGTAACCCTGCAACAAGTCTAACAACAAAACCAACTTCAAGTATTGGGGGGGGGGGGGACAATATCATTTCCAATTCAGTGATTCCACTGATGCGGCAATGATACGGCCTCTGAGCCAGCAGAGGAGCCCCCTGTAGTAAACCCACCCTCGGAGGTTTATGATACATAAGACCTAATGAGAGATTTGTCAGTCACATTGACAGTGGGTACCCGAGGAATCACACACGAGAGAGATGAGAATCATCATAAACAGGGCATTTATATTCCAATCTCAAAACTGGGAAATTAACATAGCGGACAGGTCGCTGTCTCTCGACCTTCCTCTCTATTTGCAATTCGAATGAGTAATGCTTGTTTATTCTCAGAGGAAGAGCTCCAGCGCGGCCTGTTTCACCCAATTGAATGTGACACCATGCTTAAAGCTGCACGGCGATTGCTTTTGCCACCGGTTTGTTTATTTCCAGCCGGTTTTATCGGCCTCTTAAAGGTTCAGCCACTCTTCTATGTTAAATCTTTTTTTCTAAAAAGAAGTCACCTCCTGTGAAATGTGTCAGTGAAGCACAAAACGTCCGTACTGGGTCACTGCAACAAAGGAAGAGACGGCATCCTAGTTAATATTCATTTTAAATCAGAATTTTAAAACTGACATTTTGTTGTGATCGTCCGCAGCTTCACGAGAGCAGCTACGATGCAGGAAAAGCTCTCCAGCGTCTGGTGAAGAAGCCTGTGCCCAAACTGATAGAGAAGTGCTGGTCTGAGGATGAAGTGGTAAGTGCAAAGTGCTTTTGATTTTGGAACTGCATTTACAAAGATTTCCCACCTGAAAAAAGACTATTTGAAAGGGAGAGTTTAAAGCAGGGCTCTTGGCATCAGTAGGAACACTCTTTCCAGCTCCTCCGAGGGCCAAGAGCAGCTGCATCCTGTTTATCACCCACACAATAAATCCCCAGCAAGTCTGCGAAGGGAAAAAAAAGATTGAGGGCTGGTAATGTTAGCCTCCATTTGAATTTAGATAATAATTTCACCACAGCTGTTGAATTGCTAGAATCAGCAAATGGCCCTTGTCCCCGACTGGGAAGGTAGGAAAAGGGGGATGAACCCGCTGGATAGAACCACGTGGAAACAACCATGAGCCGCACCACTAAAATGATCCTGTTAGTGTCTTTCTCCGCTTCGATATTGTTGGATGATGCAGAAGCCGGGCGGTCGTTTGTTAAGCTTTTGATTCCAGCCACTCTGATCCACTGGTCCACTGGAACGGGTGTATTTGTCTTGTAATTAAACATGATGGGCACATTTGAATAAAGTTGTAGCCTCGCGGCAGGACAGCAGCACATCAAATTAATTCAGCCATTCCTTTTGTGGACGAGTTACGAGTTCGCCTTCATTTATGTGCCAGCTTAACTGCGCCGATGAGATGATCAGAGCGGGCGCCGGGCTTGTTGACGGGAGGCCTTATTGCCCCACACAGACACACACTACCACAGCAGGTCCAGACCGCCTGTTAAAGAAGCACAGCAGGAGCTGTAAACTACTACATAGACAAATAAGGCGATCACCTCAGCAACTCACACTCGTGGCTCTTTTTAATTTGGGAAATGTTGCTTTGCAGTGTCGTTCCTCCTCAATAATTTACCCTCATGTATTCTGACTGCCGATGTGTGGAAAACATCCGGCACGCTGCGTCCCGTGGAGGAGGCGCTCAGCAGCCCTGTTGGCGCTCCACCTGCCCCTCCGTGTCCACGGCCTGGGGAGGCAGCAGCTCCCAGTGACCTCATCACCGGTCGTGCATTTTCAGCCTTGAGGGACAGGTGTAAATGTAGCACCAACCTTGGCACCCGCCCCGCTGCTCTTCATTTATTTATCACCCCCCCCCGAACGAGCTTCATTATTCCTGTCTGCTCTTTTTTTCACCCTGGCCGGGGCGTTGCTTTGGAGATGTGAGTAAAAGTGACAGCAGAGGTCGTTGAAATGACAGAATCAGCCTGTCTGCAGGGTCACTTGTCACCCCCCCCCCCCCCCCCCAACCGAACTGCCCCTCTCCACCTCTCTGCTGTTGCAGCTGCTGCCATAAACATACCAATAATTCTACGCCTCATTTCAACTCCCTAACTATAGAACAATATTAATAATCTGTCCCCACAGAGAGTTAATACGACTGTGAGAAGTGACAAGGAGTTTCGTTTCAATTGTATTGTCATCACAATTTCTCACTGAGAGATTATCAACTTTAAAGAAAGTCTGTCACCTTGATGTGAGCGGCACTCAAACTGTTTGGTGCAGCTGCAGAGTGATGACTATAGATTTGGACCAAAAGAACATATCAAATGGTGTAAAGTTATTTGAATATTAAGCACACACACAAGTTTTCAGTGGAAACCGGTGGAGCAGTGATAACAGAAAATACCAATGCATTCAGTTCTTAAGGCCAGACCACCTTAGACATGCAATCCCCCCCACACCACTTCTTCATGTGAGCTTCATCAGAAGCACCTCAATGCTTACTGACCACTCTCCTCCCACCCTTTGTGCAAAGAAATAAACACTTTTATAGCACTAATGCAATAATGTAGTAACCCTGACATCTAAATCCCCAGTGGTTGAACAACATGTAAGTGAAAGACGGATCTTCTTACAGATTACTGATTATTTATCAGTCGAACAGGCGGCATCGAGCTACACAGTAACCGTACATTTCTAATGCAACACTAAAGAATGTCCCCTTCTTCTCCCGCCCCCACCTAAAATAATCCCTAAAGTAACAATCATGTCAATAGTAATACATTTATTATGTTCAGTTAATTTAGTGTGGTAAAATAATCAATGCAAAAACAGATATAATAAATACGTCTAGTATGTCACACAAATATTAAACGTTAATCCTCACCTAGAATCAAAGGACTCTCAGAGTCAATATATTGAAATAGTTTCCTTGTGCAGCCGCCGCCGTCCCTTGTTGTAAGTAAGTGGTGCTAACAAAGCATCGGCCGACAGGAGGTGCCACATAAACGAGATAGAGCAGCAGCTGTGTTGTTGCCGCGACGGAGCAGGCTGATCCGTTCCTCGGCCTTGTGCCGCGGCTCGTCTCCGCCCACGCGTCTTCAGCTGATGGATGACCGGAGCGGGCCGCCGGGCCAATCCCCTCCCCAGCGCGCTGACAAAAGCCTGCGGGCCTCAGACACCGCTGCTCCACCAAAAATCAGCAGATCCTATTCAAGTTATGGGAGCAGCTTCGCAGAGCTTGTACCCCGTCTGCAGCAGTCCAGACACCCGCGTGGTGCCAGCGGGGCTTTTTAGAGTTGTTGGGTAACTAAATAGCAGGATGGGTGTGTGTGCTGGTATTTCCTGTCACCTTTTGTCTTCGTCTTTTGGTGCGAGCGAAAGGCTTTGCCTGCTAAAAGTTGGCAGCAGATTGAGTTTTTTTTAAGTATTTTTTAAGGAGGCTCCTATTAAGTGTACGTAAATATATACTAAATGTACATATATATATATATATATCCTTTGGCATCTTTGTACATTTTTCTAAACATGGATCTTTGTCTATACGTGTAGTGTCCGTGCAGGGAGGGGGCGGGTAGTCTGGCGTCTGTCACAGAGGTCTCCTCTTCTCTTTGAGCATGTTGTGATTTCCTCTCTGCACCTCTTGGCCATTTACTAGCTGATATTTCAGAGCAGACGGCAGTATATTTTTCCCTTTTTGCTTTTGCCTCCTCAAATGATTGTCCTCAGCCCTCCGGGTCTGTGCACCGCGGGCATTATAAGGTCAGCCTTTAACAACAAGTCAAGTATAACGACTCCATATTGAGTGAAAGTGGCTTTGTTTGCCGTTGGACAGCCTCACGTCAGTGTTGGAATGACATCTAGCAGGAGTTATGTTCAATGTCCGCGGCATCGCCCTGCCGTCTTTGTGCCTGTGTCCGCATTATCTCAACCCGTTATACAACTCCCAACCATCGAGTCTAGAGCAGGAAGTGCGCACACACAAATAACAATGGGCTATTGAATCGTTCTTTTCTTGTTCTCCTCCTCCATTTTTATGTGTCTCCTCTCCGGCCTCACAATGGTGCTCTGTTGGCCTCCAAAAGGAAACTTTGGGCGGGTGCAAAGCGGCAGTTCTCTGTACACTCGGCGGGAGAAGCCTGTTGTTTCTGCACAGCGGATGGCAATTTAGTAGCACTTCCAGCTCCCTCCCTCCCCTTCTTCTCCTCTTCTCTCCCCCTCTCTGCCTCGCTCACTCTGCCCCTCCTCCACCGCCGTGTTGCCTAGCAACGGAGGGCCGGAGCAATTGGAGCAGGGGCAGAGCGATTCAGGGAGCAGATTGGCGGATGATTTATTAGCCGGGCTGGAGAGCAGTGAGCCCAGGCAGCTGAAATGGAGCCTTAAACTGGAGCCGATGTGCAACGGAGGGGAGGAGGGAGCCAGCGAGGGGGGAGGCATGCACATCGCTCCTCTATGGCGTTGGAGGGTCTATGTACATACTACTGTCAGGGAGCATAGTTAAGGTGACATAATTAGGACGCACGCCGTGCGGTCAGGTTTCATTATTGACTAGTCCCGGCCGTCAGTGCGAGGAAGCGAGCGCAGCTCCATCTGCTGGTTCATCAACCGCTGCACCTTCGGCCCGATTCATGCCGGTGAACTGCTGTCTCATGCCACCGGCTCCATTTTACATGGAGCTTTTGGTGGCGTCGTGTTTCGGTTATTCAGCCTGGTTTAACTCTGGAGCTGGATACCATTTGAGTTTGTTTGCGTAGTGAGATAAGTCATCCTTCCGTTTGCTGAGACGAGTCTTATCACTGATGTTCCCTCCTTACGGACGCTTGTGCTTTGCAGCCGGCTGTGTCACCTCTGCAAATGTGTTCCCAAGCAAAATCTCGGCGTGTAAACAATCTCTGGTTACATAACACGCATGCCATGGAAAAATGAACTCCCGCCACCCGGGGGAGGGAGGACTCCGTTTCGAGTTTTCCCTCCCGCCGTGTCCAGGCGCTTCCTCCGCACCAATCCACTCCGCCTCCGGAGTTTGTGCCTCCGTGTGCGCGCGCGCTCTCCCCCATTTAGAGGACTGCTCCTGATAACCCCACAGTGGCGTAGCTGTCCCTGCGTGGGGAAGGAGGGGAGGGGGGGGGGAGACATGAGCCTCGCCCGTGACGGTTTAGAGGACCGAGAACCGGCCGCCACGCGCGCCGTGCCCGGTGCCGTCGCGAGGCTCCGGACTCCGCTCCGGGTTTTGCAGCCTGCCGCGAGCCAGAGGCTCTCTTGCAGAAAGATCACATGTAAAGCCTTCCCCTTTGTAGTGGAGGAGCACCGAGTGACAAGCTATTTCTTGCTTGTTAAAGAAGAGGAGGAGGAGGAGGGGAAAAAAGAGGAAGCAATGTACCGTTGGAGACGTTGTGGTGGCGGGTTACCTGTGGCTGGTGAGGACTTTTGGCTGCTTTTCTCTGGAGTTTCTTGGTGGAAACGCGCGGCGCAGATCGCAGAGGAAACGGGCTTCGCCTCCGGAACGAGAAAGTAAAATCTGCTGCTTGTCTGCGTCGCTGCTTGTGAGTGTTTTCAGCCTCCGCGTTTCTTTTCTTTTTTTTGTTGTTTATGGCTCGCGGTCCGTGGCTCTCAAAGGGGAATAAATAGATGTTGGTCTGTTTGTTGTCTTCTATTTGTTTAGTTTCTGACGTCGTTAGTGTGACACGGAGGTGAAGCTGCTGTGATCGCGTTGACGTTTCATGTGTGTTTATGAAGAATCAGTGTGTCATCGTGCCGCTCATCTCCCTTCGAGAACAATTGTTAGTTTTAAATGGTGTCATTTGACAAATGTTCAAAATGAAAAATAAAACACCCCCCCCCCCACACACACACACACACACACGCAGGGACGCGTTTTGCTTTACGACTCACAAGTTTAGGTTCTGACTTCAAACTTTTCCCTCTTCACCAACAGAACATTCAACACGGACGTGTAGATCGGATGATTTTATTTGTTGTAGCTGTGTTTTCTCTTGTCATTCCCTCTTGTTGGGCTGTTTAAAAGGCAGAAGAGATTTGTAGTTGAAAACTCCCTCACTAATCACAGACAACTTAATGAAAGCGATGTTCTTTTTCGTTGTTGTGGTGAGCCCTTAACTTCATGCGGTTAAACTCTCAGATACTAACTGCTCTTTTTTTCTCTCTCTCTTCCCTCTGAAAAATTGCAGAAGCGCTTCATTAAAGGGTTGAGACAGTTCGGCAAAAACTTCTTCAGGATCCGAAAGGAGCTGCTGCCCAACAAAGAAACGGTGAGGCGATTTTTTTTTTTTTTAAAGCTCTCTGCTTTTCAACTTGTGTTTTTTTTCTGTGTGAAACGCATCAAATGAGCTGTGTGGGATTCGCTGGTTCCTAATGGAGAGCAGGAGCGATAAAGCCTTGTTGGTGTGGTATTTTGAGCGCCGAGCCCTTATTGATAAGAAGTTAGTGCTTCCTGCCAACAACGGAGATGCAGTTCTGTCGGATCTCCCGTCGGGGGAGGGAGGGAGGGAGGGTTTAGGAGAGAAGGCCAAATGTACTTTACAGACGACCACTGGAACCTCAGCAGCGACACGCTGCACACGAATTATCACGCTGTGTTCGTAAGTCGTGAGCAAGTTGTGCAGATGTGGTGTGAGCCGCTGGGCCTGCTTCACGTCACGTCATCTCTTCGTGACTTTTGCTTTCCTTTTTTCAGCTTTTCTTTTTTACTGTGAAGTGCAACATACTGGCTTCCACCGAGATTAAATTGCAGGTTACGGCGGGAGCTTTTCAAGTGTACGGCAAGCAGGGAAAGTCCTCAGTAGTCGTGCTTTTAAAGGAAAGTATTTCAGTTGGTGTCTCAAAGTGGAAAATTGAGGACAAATGCATCCCTCAATGAATCAATTCTTTTTAACCTTAAAAAGAGATATTTGTCACATTTCTAGTTCAAGATGTAAAATCTACTTTTTGTGTATGTTTCATTCTCAGCTGAAAATGCAGGTTGGTTTGATTGTGTAACATAAGCAGTGTCAACAAACCCTTTACACTATCAGACAATATTAAGTTGCTGAACTAGTTTCAAAACTTGTGCTCTTCCGTTGCCATGTGAGTGCATTGTTTAGTCTTTTTACTGTTTTGAGGATTTAATATGCTGCTGCTTTATTGCTGGTTTTAGGATCACTACCCAACATTTGGTCAAAGGAGACGATGTGATTTAATGAGCCGTCCTTTGAGGAACTGTTGTAATTGTTTATTTACACAGGAGTTCCTCTCTTCCGTGTGTGAGTGTGCACGATCGTGAATGTGTTAATCATTAGCGCAGGACTGTGTGACTTCTTCCTTGTTCCAACCGGGTCAAATCCTGGACTAACAATGAAAAAGCAACAGTCAACCTTCGTAAATGTGATGCGTCGTCTTGAAAACAAGACCCAGTAAGCACTTTGTTGTTCGTCTTCAAGCTGACTTGCCGCATATTACCGTACGTTTCTCTCATTATATCGGCACAAGTAAAGCTGTGGGGGCTTGAGATAACAGGAACATGCTGTACATGCACATGTTGCTTCAAAGTCGTCCACACCGTCGACCTAGCTGTTAAATTATTCTTAGATGTGCATTTTGATTCACCAAGCAGTGCAGACCCGGCTCTTTCTGCCAGGCTGCTCCTGCTGGAAGTGTGCCGATAGAGTGCTGACACAGACGTCAAAGGAGAATCAAAGGGGTTTGTCATACTTCCCGCCGCTTAATTTCCTTGTCTGCTGCGGGCCGAGGATTTGTCAGCCCTGCTGCTCAAACGCGTCCAAAGTGTCACGTTGTGTATCAGCGTCACCGCCGCTCTGCTGAATTTTTACTCCTCAAAACCAATTTGAACCCCTCGAATAAGAGATTAAAGTCTATGAACACAGTTTCCATCACGGAGGTTTCTTCAATTATTTCCACTGGTTTTGAAATATACGACCGTAGTCCAGTTGATTGGCTACAGAGGAGGTGTTAATGCAACTCAACCTGGAGGGGGGAGTCTACTTGGCAGGAGAGGTAATGGACCTCCTCCAGGATCCAGGCCTTCATTTTCCCCCTGCGAATGGAAAATAAACTGCCCCTTAAACACGAGAAAAGAGAAGGAAACGACTGGGAGAGCACGAGGAGGGTCGCCGCGGTGAGAGCGGGCGTCAGCTCGATAGAGACACTAAACACCCGCGGCCCGTCGTCGCACGAGGAAGAAAACAAACGGTTTGCGTGTGATCGAGCGGAGCCACTTGATACTCGAGATTTTTTTCTTTTTCCTTTTTTTTTTTTTTTTTTTTTTTTTTCTACAACAACATATTTTAGGTTGTGCAACACAACAAAGGTTTTCCCATTATCTCCAGTAGCTGGCTTTCATGCCGAGCCATCTAAAAAAAATTAAAATTAAAAAAAGAGAAGGGACGTGTTGGGAGTTATTGCTTAGGTCCTGGCCCGGGACCACTGTTGCGGAGCCGGAGTGCCGAAATCCAGAAGTCCAGCACAGTGTGTCCACCGCTCACCGCCTCGAACAGCCAGCACCGAGGGTAAGCACCCGGCTCTGTGTAAACACACCAGGCCTGGCTAGCACTCAGGAATGCTTTATATAAAGTCACATAAAGGGCCAGAGGGGGGAAGCGGGTGTGTCGTCTGACCGCCTGCAGCCGGCCTCGCTCGCCACCATTTCCTCCACCCAGAGAGGGAGGACGTCATGGAACCTGAGCTCGCTGCTTCCAGTGTTTGAACGGCTAAATGTGCTGAAATGGCAGCTCCCGGAGAAATCTGCTCTTGATATTTTCACCGGCGGGGGTTTTCATGGAAGTGTGGTTACAGAGGATTTCGACGCCAACGTATTTGCTGTACGCGTTCGTGCCGGCTCGAGCTCTGTTTGCTGATCAGCTGAGGAATTGACCGTGTAAAATTAGATCCAATTAGAAAGTGTTGACGTGTTTCCAAACCGTTCACTTGCAGATAAAATGTGAAAATATTAAAAGTGCAAATTTAGGGAATTAAGTAAAACACTGAAACTGTTCATGACACTTTATTCAGTACATTTTGTGTGTATTCAGGGAGTTATACTTTAAATGAATAACAACAATTGTATTTACTGTGTTTCATAAAAAGGTTTCTCATGTGAACACAGAGCCACTATAATCTAATAAACTAATTATTTAGAAGAACGAAAGCTTGGTGTGTTTAATATGTTTATCAGTTTATTTTTACCTCCAGGCTCCATTCCTGCATCCTTCAGTTTAGTGTCTCTGGACTGTTGTTTAATGTTGAAGTGACTAGCATATAATTAGTACTAGTGCCAACTCACTTAAGTAATAAAGTACAATTATGTATGAGAATTGAGATATTAAAATAAAAGCAGGTTTATTTAAATTAATCTGCTGCCGTTATACAATCAGCAAGCTCGTACTTTCACAGCAAAACACCAGCTGCAAGTCCTGGAAAGTAATGGGACATATCAAATTCAAACATTAAAATATTGCATAGCAACATTTTCATGCCGTTGGTTCCTGCTTTGTTTTGGCAGGTGGAAACACAGATGCAGTGTAGCAAAGGTTAAGCCCCGGGTGTGTTGTCGGTCTTTGTCGTCATCGCAAGTCAAACACAAGTACTCTCATTCCAACAGCTGGGCGGGTAGCAGCAAAAAGTAATACATTATTCTCCATAGCTTTTGTCTCTTTATGTACCAGCCTTCTCGTGGTTTGAGTTTACTGTTCATTTTTGTCAAAGCCGGTGAACCAGCAGCAAAGCTTTGGCCGTGGAGCATGCTTATGATTTTAGGAAATGTGGGCCGAACGCTACGGCAAATGATGATCATTATTTTTATTTTTATTTCAATGCTGCCCCGTTTGTGTCGACACTCGCGGCATCTTGCTCTCTCTGAGAAACGAGCACCCCCCCACTCCCCCCCCCCGGGCCCTGTCATTTACCGGATGCCCAACAGGAGAACAGTGTTCTCAGCCCAACCTGGCAGCAGATGTTTGCCCTGGTACAATCTGTACAGACGTCAACTTGAATTCATTGCCGTGTCCTCAGCTCAGCAGCCAGAAACCTCGGGGATGACTGTGATTATAAATACTTTTGGTTCAAACACTAATTAAACCAGCTACAAACTGCGGGGGCCCGGTCCAGTTGGCAGCAGCTGTCACGAGTGTGACAGAACAGCTTTGGTGTTTGGTAAATGATACGACTTGTTTAGGCGGCGGATGGAAAGCTCAACCAGCGCGTATTGATGTTCTTTTAGTAGACCACAGGCAACAGAGCGCAGGGGCAGAAATCCTAATAGCTGGAGAGCGCCACGCCGGAGCTCCCTGTGTAATTGAGTTCTCTGGTAAGCTTCATGTTGTGTGTTATTTTTTGGGGGGGAGGGGCAGAGCGGCACTGGCTTATCAGCAGTACATGCAGCATCGGCCCTCCGGCGAGAATGGCCTCGTTCGCCATCCAATCTGCGGTCATTGGCGAAAGCGCTTACAGCCGGAAAATCACCCGTGCTGATTCTTCAGCACGTGCATCCCTGACCTGTGACAGCAGAGCTTATTCAGTCGCTCAGGCCGTCCCGTCTAACCGCCGTTTAACCGCCATTCCCCGCGCAGTCTGCGCCACCATCCGGGGGCCTTTGAATAGAGTCCAAAGACGGTTTTAATTTGACTGAGACGTTGTTATCTATGTTTTTAACATTTAGTTTCAAACGTTTTGTGACGTGAAGTTCACACTGAATGTTTATGTCAGCCAGTATGCGGATGATAAAATAGGTCAAGCACTCACTGGAATGATCCGCTGTCCCGTCCAGGGAGGAACACCCAGTCCGGAGGTCGACCACATACAATATTAAACCGGGGTTTGATTTAGCGATGAGAAATGGAACCGCTGCTCACCTCGCTGAAGTGAATCGGGGAGCCGTCCTCCCTCCTCTGGCTGCAGACTGGAGTAAGCAGGTTCGTGCTGCACTAATGGATGTTTACACAGCCCGCTATCAGCCAGCAGAGCCCAGAAGTCACATGCTCCTGCCGCTAAACGCCCCCCCCAACAGTTCTAAGCAGAGATTTTTTATTTTCTGAGATTTCCTTTCCTTTTTTCTTTTTAAAGGAAGGGCTGTGGTTGGCTTCAATGTCGATTGTTCATTGTTATCCTCCCCTGGCTCTTTCTTCCTCCCTCGGTTCTCGTCCACACTCCCCCTCCTCGACCCTCCCCCGTCCTCCCCTCCTTGCCTCGCTCCTGCCAGTAACGGCCTTAACCGCTTGGCTCCTTGTCAGAGCAGAGGCCTTTTGTGGCTCCGTCACAAATCTGCCAGGAAAAACAGAAACCATCTGTTCAGACCGGTGCCTGAGAGGGGACGCGGGTGTAACTAAACGAGTTTACCCCTCAGCCTCAGCCCGGCCCGCGCTCGCCGCCCCGCCGAGCCCGGCGCCGGATTCTCCTCTGCCACTCGGGCTCAACCTGCACCCCCACCTGCAGCTCAACGGTGATCTCCAGAGTCTCCCCGGCTCACCTGTTTCAGCGTATATCTGGAACATAAGATGGTTGACTCCACAGTCAGTAACCTGTTGTTCTAGCACAGAGTTCTCTAGCTAAAATCTAACTAAACAAGCATTTTGACCACAAACCTGCAGCTAATGCACACACACAAATATTAAAACTGTATATATGCGCCAGCAAAAGCTTTACTTTAAAGAGTTCAGGTTATATTTAGCTAATTACAATAAATTGAAGACGATGACTTGTTTGTCAAGAAAACATCCTTTCCGTAATCTCGAACCCATTTTAAGTGGCGGAGTGTCGTGATAGGAGGGTAAGCCCTTCACTTGTCGGATAATCCACCGGCCAGAAAGCTCTTGCAGATGGAAGCAGCCTCATAGGCCTTTATAATGCTGAGCTTATGTAGTCTCTGTCTCATGTACTGCGGAGCGGCCGCACACTCGTAGCGCCGCAGTGATTTACAGCAGCGGGGGGGGAATTATGGTGCGGAGGCCTGGGCCCGTCCAGATTTATGTTTCAGGTATTTCCATGAATTTTCTAGCAGCTGTCGCTTTAAATTCAGGTTCATGGAATATTTTCCTCTTTGCTGTCACCTCGGTAACTTTCCTCAATACTTTCATAAAATCCCGCTGACTGAACGCTGTGAGGTGATACAGCAGCACGTCAAAGGGATTTTAATAGAGAAAAGTACACGGCCGGTGTGAGAGGTCGGACATATGCGACTTCAGGGGCACCGCACTTGACGTGCAGCAGGCAGAGAGTTAATCCGTCAATCTCCCTTTAATGTAGCGCACAAAGCCTCTCAGCCACATGCCGTGTTCATGTTCAATGCACGTGACTATATTCTGAACGTGTATTCATAAACTCTTAAAGGAAAATATATTTTCACTGGTTTTACAAAAAGAAAATTCCATCTGTTTTCTTTTCTTGGCTAGAAGTAACTTTTCATCTTGGCGAGTTAAAAGGAAAAGCCGCTCCTTCTTTGTTTCCCCCCTTTTCCATGTGCGCCCGTCTGTACCAGCTCATCAGTGCACCTGTTAATTCCCCTTCAAAGGCCCCGGCTAATGTTTTCATTAGCCGCTGCCAAATGCAGCGCTACTTGACACATTGTAAGTGATGGAGGGGCAGGCTGACCTTTCCCCGCGTCTGCCAAGCTATTGTTGAGGCCGTGTCGCTGTCAGCCCCGCGGCGAGGAGGCCGTGAGGCGCTGCTGAGAACGGCCATTAAGCGCGGAGCGGAGCCAACGCTCGGCGCCACTCGACACTTTTGATCTGCGCGTTTCAATTAGATCTCACATCGGGACGCCTGCCCTCCCTCGGTCAGCACCTGCGCCCTGCGTGGCCGAGCGCGCTGGGGAGGCCAGGCGCACGGCGAGCGAAAGCTCCGCTACCAGCCCCAAACGCATGGCGGCACAGCGGGGCTTTTCTTCTGCTGACATAATCCTCTGATGTCATTCGCTGCTCCTGTCTTTGGCACAACAGAAATACTGTTTTTGATATAACCGAAATGACTTTAATAATCCAAAGATAGAGGCTTGATTCCTCCTTCTTGACTCGTTCTTTATTATTGTTTTATTTGAAAGGAGTTCTACTGATTTCTCTGCTGAGCTTCTGCATGTGGAATCGTTCCCAGTGCTCCAGATGTGCTCATCTGCAGCCGTCAGTAGGGGCTATGAAGCCTGAGCACCAGCTGTGGGGCTTGGGACAGTTATACTCTGGAGCACTTGCTTTGCCATAATTTACCCTGAAATGTGAGCGGTTTTCATTGAGCTCCAGCTCTGCTTTGCCTGATAAGACTGAGTCCTACAGCCACTAGTGGAAATACATTTCCCCTAAGAACCACATGAAGGGGGAAGTTATTAACCAAGCCTAAGCCCAGAGAGTCCAGCTGTTTGTGCCAATCAAAGCCAACACTCAACCTTTTGGTTTTCTTACAACAAACAAAAAAATTGTTTTCTACGTCGCCAGATAAACAAATAAAAGCTGCAATTCCCTTGTTTGTTTCGGTTACTACCATAATATTGCACTTCTAAATTGCTTTGATGGCCTTTTATTTCCTCTGTCTGTTACAGGAGTTGAGTGAGAGCCTTTTTAAAGCCACTTACAGGCGTCCACCACTTCATCACATCCTTTCCTGCCATTGTTTGTTTTAAAAAACATTTTGATAGAAGTTTTGGCTGAAAAGCTGTTGATGCATTTTTAGAGAGAAATGCATGTCAAGTATCTCCACTGCAGCGTAGAAGGGAAAGCGGTCGGTAGCCATTAAACCCCGGGGGTTTGTTGAGCAGCAGTGTAGCAGACCTCAGAGCGTAGACGGCAAGATTACAGGTGACTCGCTGCTCGGCCCGACGATCGCTCCACACCTTCATGAATTTGTTATGGCGCCAGCGCGAGGCCGCTAACAAGTGAGGGGTCCGCGGTGACGGAGAACAGGGCAAAGCCCCGCAGGAAGCTACATAATTGTGACTGACTCCGGTCTGAAAATTGGGTATTATGAGCGCGGCCGGAAAAACCCGCAGTTAAAATGCAGCCGCTGCCTCAGCAAAGTGCTTTCTGATCCATGATTGCATGTGTTAATGTTTCAGTTGGGTATTGATTTCCTGGCCGCCTTTTTGTACGCCGCATTTATCCGCCTCGTTATTTTGGCGAGCCCGACTCTGAATGTTTGATTACAGTTCAATTGACTCTTCCAGTGGTGGGGCGAGGAGCCATTTCACTCCCTATTTGTAGCGCCAAAGCTCTGCCTGACATGTTCCTTTGTTCCCATTCAAGCTCCTGCCACCCAGGCAGCCACCAATGCACTGATCCTAATATCCCTGCATTCAGTCAGCCTCCTCTCCTAATCCTGGGACAGACAGGGCCAAAGCACAAACACGCCCGGCCAGCACCAAATCCTGGCATGGACTTACCGGCTCCCTGGCCCGTCATAACTGCTAATGCACATATTTTATTCGACTAGCTACAGAGTTTTTTGGCAACTTGGACGAATTTACCGTTTTAATTCTGACACTTCTTTGCTCTCATTGATTGCTCCCCCTCACTCCTCCTCCTCTCTGAGTTGTTCTGATATATTCATCAGGGTTTTTTTATTTTTTTTAACCAATTTCTTTTTTTGTGTGTTTCATTTCAGGGAGAACTTATCACCTTCTACTACTATTGGAAGAAGACCCCCGAGGCAGCAAGTTGTCGAGCCCACCGCAGACACCGCCGCCAGCCCGTCTTCCGTCGCATCAAGACGAGAACCGCTTCGACTCCTGTCAACACTCCCTCACGCCCCCCCTCCAGCGAGTTCTGTAAGTACATCTCACCTCTTCGGCGCAGGAGATGACCCCGTGTAGGAGACATTTATAGGAAGGGTTTTGTCTTCTCGCTCACTTGCAGTGGACCTCAGCTCGGCCAGTGAAGATGACTTTGACAGCGAGGACAGCGAACAGGAGCTAAAGGGCTACGCCTGCCGCCACTGTTTCACTACCAGTAAGTTATCCCGTTCTACACCTGCAGTCACGCACGCTGGTCATTTGGCTCTGGCTATTGCTGTCCTGGTCCGGACCGGTGTGGGTCTGCACACAGTGCAGCTGTGTGTGACAGATGGACATAAGAAGATGTTGGGACAAATGACATCGGATCAGACGTGAGCACAGAGCGTGTTGACTCGCTCCCCCGCGTTATCGTTACCCTTCTATCCACACAGCTGGCTCGCAGTGCCCGGCTCCCATCTGGTTACTGCCATGACAGCTATGGTGTGATAACTTTGGCTTTGCATTGTTATGGCATATGGACCTTATTAGTTTACTACAGAAAATGTTAATGCACTATTTATCTGTTATCACTGATTCATGAAAATGTTTATCTCATTAGATGTTAAACCATGACACTACTTAATGGCATTCTCTATATTCGACAATATTATTGCAGTTTCTGAGATCCTTTCTGTGTGATACGTGTGCTTGCTATTTAATGCCTGTGAGAATCTGTTATTTCACAACTGTAAATGGCTTCCCTCAGCCTCCAAGGACTGGCACCACGGGGGTCGGGAGAACATCTTGCTGTGCACAGACTGCCGCATTCACTTCAAGAAGTACGGTGAACTGCCTCCCATTGAGAAGCCTGTGGACCCGCCGCCATTTATGTTCAAACCTGTCAAAGAGGAAGAGGATGGACTCAGCGGGAAGCATAGCATGAGGACCCGACGGAACAGAGGCTCGGTGAGCGCTTTCATCCATCCCTGTATTTTCACCTTCAGGATTCGTAGCCTCAACGTTATCCCTTGAGCCAGACCACGGAGCCAAAAGCTTATCGTCTCTAGACGTGCTGGGAAGAGTTCGACGTCCACAAATATTTTGACGGAGTTTTTTGGGCTTTCGTATGTCCATCTCCAGTCAATGTTGACGGTGTTTGTTTCCATCAGATGTCGACGCTACGTAGTGGTCGTAAGAAGCAGACAGCCAGTCCCGATGGCAGAACCTCGCCTACAAACGAGGACCTGCGCTCCAGCGGACGCACCTCTCCCAGCGCGGCGAGCACGGACAGCACAGACAGCAAGACAGACTCCATGAAGAAGCCCAGCAAGGTAAACGAAGCGTGGACTGCCTGTAAATCTTCTTCTTCTAGTCACATGTCTCTGTGAAATGTACCCTAATGGCTCTGGCGCTTCTGCTCCACAGAAGATTAAGGAGGAGGCTCCTTCACCTATGAAGAGTGCCAAGCGGCCTCGAGAGAAGGGAGCCTCTGACACAGAGGAGCCCGAGAGGGCCGGCGTCAAAAAGTCCAAGACACAAGTGAGTCCCCGGTCCTTGTTCTCCCTGTTCGGAGTTTGAATGGAATGCACTTGTCTTATGATGCTCATCCCTTTCTTCCCTCCTTCCCTCAGGAGCTGAGTCGTCCAGACTCGCCATCAGAATGCGAGGGTGAAGGCGAGGGCGAGAGCTCGGATGGCCGCAGCATCAACGAGGAGCTCAGTAGCGATCCTAAAGACATTGACCAGGACAACCGGAGCTCCTCCCCGAGCATCCCCAGCCCCCGGGACAACGAGAGCGACTCTGACTCGTCTGCCCAGCAGCAGCAGCTCTTGCAGAGCCAGCACCCTGCAGTCATCCAGTGTCAGCCGGGCACGTCATCTGCCTCCTCTGCGCCGCCTCCGCCTGCAGCCGCGGCCCCCTCACTGCCCCCACAGGTTTCCCCCATAGTGGCCTCCACCTCTCTACCTCCCCTGCCTCTGCCCCAGGCAAGCCCTTTGTCTCTTATCCAGTCGGGCGCGTCCCTCCACCCTCAGAGGCTGCCCTCTCCACATTCACCGTTGACTCAGGCTCCGCCTCCTGGACTCCCGATACCACCTCAGTCGTTACCCAGCTCGCATCATGGGCCCATGCTGATGCCTCCCTTGCCACATCCCCTTCAGCCTGGCCCCTCACACATGCCTCACCCTCTCTCCATGCCCCTCCAGGGCTTCCCAATGGGTCAGTCTCAGGTCCCACCCCTGCCAATCTGTGGCCAGTCACAGCAGAGGCCGCACACTCCTCCTTCCCAGTCATCTGCTCAGAGTGGCCAGCCTCCCAGAGAGCAGCCCCTTCCCCCTGCCCCGATGTCCATGCCCATGCCCCACATAAAGCCCCCGCCAACCACACCCATCCCTCAGATGCCCAACCCTCAGTCCCACAAACACCCGCCCCACGCGTCGGCACCTCCGTTCCCTCAGATGCCTTCAAACCTGCCGCCGCCCCCCGCGCTCAAGCCCCTCAGCTCTTTATCCACACACCATCCTCCATCAGCACACCCGCCTCCCCTACAGCTCATGCCTCAGGGGCAACAGCTTCAGCCCCCACCAGCACAGCCACCAGTTCTCACTCAGTCCCAGAGCCTCCCGCCGTCAGCCAGCCACCAACCTCCTCCAGCTCCTCCTCTGCCACCCTCCGCAGCAGCCTCACACTCGAGTGGGCCGCCGCAGCCACCGTTCTCGTCTCATCCTTTCAGCACAGTTCTACCTCCGACTGGCCCTCCCCCATCCTCATCAAACTCTATGCCTGGCATTCAGCCTCCATCTTCCTCCGCCCCGCCGTCCTCCATCTCCATGCCGCTGCCTGCCTCGGTCGCTTGTGCCGGCCCGGTACTCCCGCCCGTACAGATCAAAGAGGAGCCTTTGGACGAGTTAGAAGAGCCGGAGAGTCCTCCACCCCCCCAGAGGAGCCCCTCCCCGGAGCCTACCATCATCAGTACGCCCACCCATGCCAGCCACGCCAGCCAGTCTGCACGGTATGTCTGCAAACACAGATTCTGCCCAAACGTTCACCTGCGCAAACTGTTATTTATCGGTTGTCTATTGAGCTGCTTACTGTCTGGGGAAGCTGATTAGCTCTCCAACACATCCAACAACAAAGAGTATTTGCCTTCACATTTTAAGGCTTTGATGTGAGCAACAATTCAAATGCCCTCAGCAAAGCAGGCTTCCCAGGCCACAATCAGCCCAGAGCTCTGAGAGGCTCATGGCGAGGAATTATCGGAGCTGAAGAGCAGGGAGATTAATTACAGCGAGATGCAAGTGAACTGAGGCATCTGAATATGAGTATCTGTAGTTTCCTTGTGCTTAAGTGGTTCTTAGACTGCCAATGAATAGCAATGGGGGTTTTAATACATACTCTACTCTGCAGCCAGGTATTGCCAAAGGAGTTTGTTTCCTTGTGAATAATTGACCAGTGTTGGCTAATAAAACAAGCTGTTGGACATTATCCTGTCTTATTACTCAACCAAACCTGAATGTCCCTCTAGCTTTATGTGTAACAATAACCTCACATCTATATACTGGAATTTCCTTTATCTCTGATATTGAATAAGCATAAATATTGAATGTTTTGTTTCCACCAGGTTCTACAAGCACCTGGACCGGGGTTACAACTCTTGTGCTAGGACAGATTACTACTTCACTCCACTGGCTTCATCGAAACTGGCCAAGAAGCGGGAGGAAGCTCTGGAGAAAGCCAAGAGGGAAGCAGAGCAGAAACTGAGGGAAGAGAAGGAGAGAGAGCGGGAAAGGGAAAAAGAGCGGGAACGAGAGCGGGAGCGGGAAAAAGAAGCAGAGCGGGCGGCGGTGAGTGCTTTTGTTTGTCTCCCTTTTGCTTGCCAGCGTTTAATATTTTTTGCTTTACTTTATTGAACATTGCGTTCCTCTCCTCACAGAAAGCCTCCAGTTCATCTCACGACAGCCGGATGTGTGAACCTCAGATGGCTGGCCACTCCCACATGCGCTCACCCTATGACCCGCCCACCACTATCGCAGCAGTGCCTCCGTACATCGGGCCCGACACCCCGGCCCTACGCACCCTCAGCGAGTACGCCCGACCCCACGTCATGTCCCCCACCAATCGAAACCACCCTTTCTTTGTGTCCCTCAACCCTGGCGACCCGCTGCTGGCCTATCACATGCCCGGCTTGTACAACGCCGACCCAGGCATGCGCGAGCGCGAGCTACGAGAACGGGAGATGCGTGAGAGGGAGATTCGCGAAAGGGAGCTGAGGGAACGGATGAAACCTGGTTTTGAGGTTAAGCCTCCGGAGATGGACTCCCTTCACCCCTCCACTAACCCCATGGAGCACTTTGCCCGGCACGGGGCCATCACGTTACCCCCCATGGCCGGGCATCACCCCTTCGCCTCTTTCCATCCAGGCCTGAACCCATTAGAGCGCGAGCGGCTGGCCCTTGCTGCCGGGCCCCAGCTGCGGGCGGAAATGAGCTACCCAGAGAGGTTGGCTGCAGAGAGACTCCACGCTGAGAGGATGGCCACGGTGGCCAACGATCCCATCGCCCGTCTACAGATGTTCAATGTCACGCCACACCACCACCAGCACTCGCATATTCACTCCCATCTACACCTCCACCAGCAAGACCCGCTGCACCAAGGTAAAGGAGAGCCCTGTATACATGCATGCATGCATGCATACATACATACATGCCCATGCCATATATATATATAGAATTGATGATTTGTTGTGTGCAAGTTAATAAAGGAGATTTGTCAAGATTCTTGTGCAGTACTACTGACGACAGGCAAGAGTGAACCACAGGGACTTTGAATTAATAATTTCTTGCAACGATCTGCAACTCCACCACATATTGTATTGTCTCTGTAGTAACGCACGGCATTGTGGGCCCTGCCTCTGAGGGCAGTAACATAACGAGCTGTGTATCGGCTGCCTCTGGCCCCGTCTGTGATGACCTATTGTGAGATGAGTGAACCCTGAACCTCAGACTCTGACCCCCCCCCGAAGGTGGCGGCGAATGTCTTGTGTGTCCTCCGGGCTCTGGGGGCCACCCCCTGGCAATGGATCCCCTGGGAGGAGGACCTCACCTGGCTCGCTTCCCTTACCCGCACGGCGCCATCCCCAACGCTCTGCTCGGCCAGAATCCGCACGAACACGAGATGCTGCGCCACCCGGTTTTCGGTAGGTTCACTGCCAATACGCACTCGCTCTCATTAACGGCAATATCGCCTCCAGTCCATCAGCCGTCAGCTTCAACTACATTTGCTTGATCGAACCATTTGCTCGCCCCTCCTCCAGGAACTCCGTACCCACGAGAGCTGCAGGGAGGTCTGCCCCCGCCCATGTCTGCCGCCCACCAGCTGCAGGCCATGCATGCCCAGTCTGCTGAGCTGCAGAGGCTGGCCATGGAGCAGCAGTGGCTCCACGGACACCATCACATGCACGGAGGACCACTGCCGGGTCAGGAGGACTACTACAGGTCGGACAAACCACAGAAATGGCACAAAATAACCGCCAACTGTGTGTGTGTGTCTGTGTGTGTGCGGCAGATATTAATATGTCGTTGTTTGTGTTTCAGCCGGCTGAAGAAGGAGAGTGACAAGCAGCTGTAACCAGCCAAGGAAGTTGGCGACTTGACGGGTGCAGGACGCAGGAAGTTGTTCATTCAGTCTTGAAGAACGGAAAATGCCAAGTGGATCGTCTGAGAATTCTTCTGATTTTTGTTTCTTGTTCCTATCAAGGACATTTTTTGATTATCATTTTTTCAAGACATAGACTTTCTTTGGTATATAGCCAGTAGTGACAACGTCCTCAAGACTCGTGCATGACAAGCTTCCCTGACATTTTTGTGTAGGTGCTAGAACATGACACTGTGCTTCACAATAAAAAAAAAGACAAGACCGGTCAGGCCGTTTTATGGAAAAATAACAAGTGCTATCTTAAACTCAACATTTATTTTAATACATTGTTGGAGGTTTTTCATAATTTTAAGAAAAAGCTACAGCATGGCGTTTTTTGAGTCTGTAAATAGTATATATAAACATATAATTATTATTATAATTATTATTATTACTAGGTGTGGACTCCGAACCAAGTCGTTTCAACCTCCAATATAATTGTTTTGAAGCATTATCCCTTGTTTCAGAGGGGAGCACCATGGCATTATATGAGCAGTTCCTGGGAGTAACGTTCCTCTGACGTCACTGTGTTTAGATTTAGTCCCACATCAACTATGTAACCCATAACCCCGTCACACCCACAGCCATCCGTCACGCACCCGGGACACGCCGCGGGTTGTGAGAATGTGTCAACTCAACGCGTTGAGTTAATGATGTGAAACTTGAAGAGGTGACACGGGAGTCACCGGGGTTTCTGTCGAGTGCACCCTGAAGCCATGGATTCAAAAGAAAACACGCGTTTGCACTGAGAGAGTTTGTTAAAGCTCCACTCGATTGCTTTTATCCTTTCACTTCAAATCTTTTAAGTCCACACATTTGGAGTAAAACATAACTTTTTGTTTCTACAGAGGATGAGTTCAATTATGATTTTAAACATATGGAACATATTTGGCTGAGCTGAAGTTTTTTTTTAAAATATATATAACAAGGACCTGTTCACTATATCAGGAGGCCATCAGGACTTCAGGATTGTTTTAATGTGTGAATGGTTGTGACTCGGTGCTGGTTGTGTTGTGGTCGTCCCCTTTTCTTCAGCCGGTGCAGTCACCGAATGTTTGTTTCAGTCCGACCGAGTCGTCCTCCGACTGGACTGTAATAATGTTCACTGTGACACTAGAGGGGGGGTCTGCCGACACGTGATGACCAAGAGGTGGAGGGTCGACCGTGTGTGTGTGTGTGTGTGCGTGCGTGCGTGTGTGTGTGTGTGTGTGTGTGTGTGCGTGTGCGCGCCACTGACTGTTACAAGTTGTGTTGGCCTGTCATACCAGTGCACATGAGTTGTTGTTTTTTACTCTTCACGCCACAATGAGTTCTGCTTTTGTTCCACACACTAAGACTGTTTGACCTTCATGGACCTTAAACCCTACTTGCATTTAAAAGTGACCATATCCTCATATCTTGGAGCACTATGAATTACATTTGAACACTTGCAGAAATCGTCAAAATTTCCCGTTTAACATCCCTAAAAAAAGTCTTTGACAAGAACCCGTCGTTTTGTCTCGCCATCTCCCACCTGCCGTCTCTCTCCTGACGACGTACTCCTCACATCTTTGCCTCGTTTTCCTGACGATTCCCTTGCCTTTTACTCTTTTTGTGTCTCCGGAACCTTTGATGTTAAGTGTTGTCAATGGTTTAGCTTCTTGTTTCAAAGCGGCAATAGCAGAATGTAGATTCTGACTGCTAAGATTTATATATATACTGGTATCTTGAAGCTTATTGTATATATGAGTAGTCGCCATGGGATGACACAATGTAAACAAAAAGTAGAAATAAGAAAAATTGTGAGTCCTGTGTTCTCTCCATTTGAGTATTTTGTAATTTTTTTGAAAAATTTGTGGAATTAAAATAAACGACTAAGTTACACCACAAGAAACGACTTGACTTTTTTTTTTTAATGCCGTGTGATACATAACTGTTTATTTGTTAAAGCTTGTTTGTATGCCGACGTTTAGCAGGCTGCTAAAATCCCATCAGCCGGCAAACAGAATAATCCTGTTCCAAGAATAAACAATTGTGATTGTTCTGCTCATTCACTGAATGGCAAAGAAAAGAAAAAAAAACTATTCTGTTTTTTGTTTTAATATTTGAAAATGTAATTTTCAAGCTGAGCAGACTGCTGCTGGGTCTGTTTAGATAATACTCAACCCTACTGGGCTCTTGAATAATAGAGTTTGGGCTTGGCGGTAGAAAAGCGCTACAGAATAGATGAAGCGTTCTTGTTTCCTATTTCATTTCAGCTTTCTATAGTCTCCGTTTCACAAACACGGAGCTTTAGGAGATCGCCAAGCAGCAGGTAGTAAATCTCACAGCTGAATATTGCACTGCCTGCGTATAATAACATCAAAGCCAGGCTAAGCCAGAAGGAACACTTACTCAGGCTGAGAAGCCTCGCTATCAGCGGGGGCAGGGCTGTCGTTTCATCCTGCGAGTGGGGGGGGGAGGTGGTAGACCAGCAATCTGTGATGGTGTGCTGCAGTGATGGCTGTCATTTTGAGAGGGAGCTATTATTCTACTGCTGCTCTCTGAAATGATGCTCTGTCCTCGGGAAAATCAAGGTTCCTGGGCTGTTCCATCCCGGGGCTGGTCATGTCATGTGACGGCGCTGCCCGTTGTCGCCGGCTCACTTCACCTCCCCATAAGACACGAGACGTCAGAGCCGAGTGGCGCCGGGTGGTTGAATAATTCATCTCCCTCCCTCCTCCACCACCTCCACACCGGCGATGGAGAGACTGTGACTTGTGTCAACTCAAATCCCTTTCATAATACTGTGTGTACCCCTCAGGCAGGCTCACAGGATACCCCGTCTCCAGGAATCAGCTCGCTCTGTCTGAATAGCAATACGTTGTGCCGTTCTCTCTCTGTGTGCTATTGTATCGGTTGCAGCAGGTTTGGACATACAGCCTCATCATCTTCTCCATCCTACCGTCTTTTCTTTCGCTCCACCGGGTCTGCCCGGTGCAGCAGAGAGCTATTAGTGCGTTCAGACGGAAGGTAGCCCTGTTTATATTAATGTGAGCCACGTTGGCACAGAAAGCAAATCTTCAGTTTGTGTTTTTTCTCATCCACAGGAGACAGGATGCTGAATGTATTTTATATATATTATGAGTAATCCCACAGTATTCATTCAGATGGTGCAGAATCCTCATTGGCTCCATCTTTTCTCTTCAAATCTGAAACTACATTGAGTCATTTAGAAAACAAGCAGCCTCAGTTTATGTAAAACTACTCAAATCCATCACCCCTGTAGGAATTTAATGCATGCAAATATAGGTAATTAAACAAATCTGCAATGCAAATGGACCCATCTCAAATATGCATACATGCATTTTATTCAAAACAAATGTTGTCCCTGCACTTCAAACAACACACTATCCATATCAATGAAGCAACCTTCCTTTCCCAAGGAATGGTTCAAGCAGCATTTTCTATAAAAACACATTTTTAAAGTCTGCTATACGGTCAAATACTTACATTTGCTTTCAAGTACTTTCCCTGTGAAGCCAGGATAAAGGTCCTAAAAAGCAGCATGGAAACAAACACGCTGCTTTGTGAAAGACCGAAAAACATCCTCTAGATTTTCATATAATAGAACCCACAGTTTGTAAAGCGTCCCTGACCCTCTGGCCATAGACATCTTTCTCTAAACTATAAATACATTTATAAAATATAACGATACGATCCTATACGTGTTTGGCTTTGCTGCTTTTACTTTAAAGTTTGGCTTTGCTGCTTTTACTTAAAATAATTTAAATACTTCCAATAAATCCTTCTAATTTTCAGTGTGAAATTATATATATATATATATATATATATATATATATATATACACACAAATGCCATGACATGACATATAACATGGTATAGTATCAAATAAGAATGAATGGAGCAATTTTTTAAATCACTGTACTTTTCAGTTGCTTCAAGAACAAATTAATTAATATCATATTTTTTCCATTTTAAAAACATGGCCTACGTTACCCGCAATGCAACTCGATGGCAGCCAATGTGGTCTCCAGAGTTTATGTAGTTTCAAATTGTCAGCCAGTAAAGCTGGTAAACCCCTTTTTTTCTAATCCCACAACCAGATTTTTCTTTGTTTCAGACTTGTAATCTTAATGCTAATGCTCACTAAACTAACATCACTCCATGGAGTTATGCACCTTTCTCTCTTGACCAGAAAAAAACCAGAAACAGACTTTGACGTGCAAAAGTGGTGGAATTTCCCTTAAACAATCAACATTCAAATGTTTTTCAAACAGAAAAAGGGGAGGATATTTTAGCTCTGCACACCACAGCACAACATTTCACGTCCAAGGGTCGGCTGCCATTTTGATCCACTTTATTATTCAGTCTTTGCGAGTGTGCTGTAACGCCATCCCGCCCGTGAAGAAGCAATGAACCTACGATCTGTTTGCGCTGCTGCCTGCTGAGTGTTTGCGGCCTCGGCTGCAGCTCCCATGTGTCTAATGATATCCTGCTCTCACATTCCTCTCATAACCAATGTGGATATTCCCCCTGGTCTGCACCAGCGGATCAACCCTGTGGAGCCACTGCCCCAACCCGAGCATTCCTCAGCCACACACACACACACACACACACACACGCCCCGGGGAGGCCTTGGTTTTGCAGACACCTACCACAAACCTCACACACACACTGTCTCTCCCGTCTGTTTCCATTGTGTCGAGTTAGATTTCAGGGGGCACAGCGTGCAGACGGAGTCGTAGGATCTCTTTGTTCAATAAAGCGTCGCAGGTTCGGTTGCTCTCCTGGCAAAGCGCAGACAATGCGAGGCTCACACGCTAGACTTCCAGGCTCCTCTTTAATGCGTTGTCATAAAACATGCAGCCGGCAGAGACTTAATGCTCAGTGGGTATTGCCCTTCCAGCTTTCCTTGTGGGCCCGCATGTGTCTCTCGTCAGCGTCTGTGCACCGTCAGAGTCACACTGACCTGACAGTTCAGATACCTCACAGCATTTCAATTAACCAACTGGAAAGTCTGAAAGAAATAGGGAGGCTTCAGTCCACAGAAATGTCCACTCCTGTTAGCTCAAACTATTGGGACAGTGGAGGGATGTTGCTTCATACAGTATTTCATTCTTTTCACATGAAAATAAGACTTCAAACTGTCATCGGTCCCCAATACGGTCCCCATGCAGCCAAGCCTTTAGAATGTGTTATTGAGTCTTCAAAACAAAAAACGATTTGTTCTACTCCTGCATTTACAAACACGTTTTGTTGATTCTTAAACCATAAAGTACACAACTAACCACAAACCAACTTGCACAGACACGGGCTGAATAATACACGTGTGATAGATATGCCTGTTTGATATTATGCACTTCTTTACCCACAGTAGTAGCATGCGCTGGTTGTTCTACATTCCTTTCTGTATTTATGTGCATTGTGTATTCTGTGCATTTTATGAATACTTGAGTCTTTTGATGATCGCTATTTTTCTACAATGAGGAAATGGAGGTGCTGCTTGCAGAAAATATTAAAGCAAATATTGGAGGGTAGTTCAGGAATATCTCAGAAAAACACCTATGAAATAACAATTAACCTCTTGTCTTATTGTGGCTGCTAGCTGCTTTTTCTGCTCATTTAGCAAACAATATGTGTGTTGCCTGTACTGCTATATGAGAATTAACTTCTCCTCCAATTACTTCCATCATTAATTAAACATTTAGTCAGTAATATTATATATATATTATTATATATTATATAGTAATATTATATGAAGTACAAATATGCTGTTTGCAAAAGACTAAGGGGACACTTTTGTATTTCATTTCCAACCAGTTGTCCAAAACCCAAAAGACCTACAGGAATATAAGGAGCATTGCAACAAACCGGCAGAAGCACTATTTATTTGATAGTAAATAATCGGACTAAATTGTTGTCAATTTATATTTGACCTATGGACAGTTTAATTCATTAATTGAGTACACATTCAGCACATATTTGCTTACATAATCCATTCTACTTCAGTCTATTGAAGTTTTGTCTTATGAATATTACGGTTCCACATTATTATGTTTTACATGAAAAATCATTTTATTAAAGTCCAAAAATCTATTCTTTAGTCACTTACTTCAACATTTTAACACAATTTATTCTTTGTGGAAAGCAACCACACAGTTTCTCCTCACTGCGCTCATACGTTTTCCAATTACTCTGTAACCTAATTTCAGCGATGAGCACAACAGATCTGATTTGGGGATCAAAAGCCTGAATCATTAACTGGCTGAGCTGATGTTCTGCAGCTCAGCAGCTCCACACAGCCTCTCCTCCTGCAGATAACCCCGGTTTGACCCCAGCCTGTCATGCATGCTGCTGTGGCTTTACAAAGCCTGCCTGTCTCACGGCAGCAACAGCACCAAACCTAAATAAATCACAGGCAGGATGTGGTTCATACTCCTCAGCAATTTCCTCAGCCATCATCAGTCTCCGTGCCGCTGTCAGTCGCCTGCTCCTCTGAAATGGGCCCCGGAGCTGCTCTTCTCTGCGTGGCGACGGGTTGGCCTCGCCTCCTGCCGTTCAGACGACTAGGACACCGAGGGGGAAAGGTGCTCACGGGGTCAACAGGTGGCTCAGAGGTGCCGTGCTGCAGATCAAGGGTCCAGAGGAGCGAAGCCAGCGCTCCGACCTTGTGTTTGTTCTAATGGCCGTCCCCGTGATGAATGGCGTCGCCGCGGCACACGCCTGCTGCTGCGCCGTGAGGCCGTCCACTTTGCCCTGACGCAGATGGATCGGCCTTTGTTTTTTACCCTCACCTCCGCTGTGTAATCAATCTCCATTGCGAGTGTATGGGAGGGGGCGCGCGCCCCGTGGGCTGCAGGCGATGAACTGACCGGCGGGTGGCAGGAGGCT